GCAAAATATCAATTTTTGGAACTTGGATTAAGATTATACAAGCATGGGATTGGAAGGGTGAGAGTTCGGTGAAATCATTTTGTGCAGATACATATGCCATCCAGAGGCCCATTTAGAGTGCGTCATGTCATCCCTTTGTTGTGTACCGCAGCTGTTTGCCCGCTGTGTACCAGATGACTTGGCGCGCTCTGATTCACCTCCGGACAGTCCGGTGTCCGCACAAAATAATTTCTTGAGAGTTTGAAAATTCCCTAGGTCCAGTCTTTGTTTGGCTTCTCCGACCCCGTCCCCTTCACCAGTGGCCGCTCCGCTCTGCCAGATCTGCTCCAATAGGTTAGTAAAAATGCATTTTTTTTTTATATAGAATTTTATAGTTTTCGATTGTTTTTCTAAATAGGAGATAGAATAAGGGAAAAAAAGTAAATGCACCGTATAAATTTGTAGAATGAGGTGGTTTAGGGTGATGCCTATTTTAAATGTGTTTTTTACATATGTTTGGATATATCTTGCAAAAAGTGATTGATTTATGAGTATTATCTATTTTATGTGTTTATTAATGCTTGATCATAAAAAATGGGGAGTTGTTGAAGTTTAAAAATTATGTTATGTTATTATTTTTTATTTTTAATTTAATAGAAAAATTGAACTTATAATGAGTTGTTTGACAAAATGTTAAATTTGTATAAACCAATTGGTATAGTTTTTACTTTTTAGGTTATATTTTTGCTTGAATTTTATTTTCTAATATAATCCTTAATTTTTTTTTAATTTAAAACTTATGTAGATAATTGATTCCTTCTTTATTTGTATTAATAATTATTAATTTTTTAATAGATATAATATAATTTAAGATATTTTTGGTTAATATAATTGTATGAAAATAATTCCAAATATGTTATTGAAAATTTTGAGTTATTTGTTAACTTTTTTATTAGATATCATAACATTTTTTTATTTTTATATTATTTTAGTTTATAATGGATATCATTAAAAAATTTATTTATATAACCATTTATAATGTTTATATTTAACGAGTTAATGATAATATTAGCATAGTGAAATATTAATAATTGAAAATTTGTTAGAATATAGTGTTGAATGTAACGAAGTTTATATTTGTCTTGATGAAAAAAAAAATATTGTTTTTAATTTATTGTAAATGTAGGTATTCAAAATGAGTTCACAACCACCATCTTTTATGTTATTATATGATGGAGAGTTATCTTTAGACGATAATTTTTCACCAACTTATGTTTGTGGTAATTGTCGACCCCTCCAAGTTCCATCCAAGTCGACTTTGAAGCAGTTAAAAGATAGGTCAGGGCACTAAAGTACGATCCCTCAAAGTTCACGGTGTGAATTGTGGGTTGTTTTCCTGTGGGTAACCAATTCATGGCCTCAAAGGTTGAGGACGATGAAGGTTGTGAGTTTACGTTGTCATTGGCTACTTCTGAAGTTTTAATTCTATATGTGGAGGTTGAGAAAATTTTTGATGATATTAATTTGGATGAAGAACTATCTACTCAAATTTGTGATAATAGTCATTTGAGCATTTCTCAATTTTCTAAAAAAAAAAAAATTCTATGTCCAGAATTTTTGAGAAAATTTCGACAGTCTTCCGGTGTCCCCTCCCCGGCGCCGGAAGGTAAGGAGTGGCTCGACTCGACCGGAACGAATTAACGGCAAGGAGATTAGATCTTCGGAGGCTTTGATTGACGATGATCGATTGCTGATATTGGATGCCATTTGCTTGTCAAAAATTTGGCCAAGTCTCAAAATTTTGAGGAAATTTCGGCAGCCTCCCGGCGTCCCCTCCCCAACGCCGGGAGGTAAGGAGTGGCTCGACACGACCGGAGCGAATCAATGTCGAGGAGATTTGGTCTTCAGAAGTTTATATTGGCGAAGATTGGTTGCATATCGAATGATTATCGGTTGCTTGTCGAAATTTTGGCTAAGTCCCAAAATTTTGAGGAAATTTCGGCAACCTCCCAGCGTCCCCTCCCAGGCGCCGGGAGGTAAGGATTGGCTCGACTTGGCCGTAGCGAATCAACGGCGAGGATATTAAGTCTTCAAAAGCTCCAATTGATGATAATTGGTTGTCAATATTTGTTGTCGATTGTTGATTGTGATGTACTAATTTACAATCCCTTTCCTTCCTTTTTTTCTTTTTTTTATATATTACATTTTCATTTTATATAACATATATATAAATAAATATTATAAAATATTAATATTCATATTATAATATATATATATATACTAGTTTTATTGCACGTGCACAAAGTGCACGTTGCAAGGATTTTAAGAAATATTGTGAGAGACTCTTTAAATGGAAAATTTATCATAGCGCCTTCAATGGCCAGCAAGGTCAGGGACCACTCCTAACACCTCAGAGTCATATTACTACAAATATTTTGTGCATTGAGAGAGCAAAAAATGGAACATTGAGGGAGCTAACATCAACATTTAGTCGGAATTAACTAACAATATCATAATGAAAAAATAAGGAAGATATGGTATGTTTTGTAATAATTGAAGACTCTGAGCATGATAGAAAAATGAAAACTAATGATGTTGACAGTTCTCCACAATACTTTGAGCAATAAAGAAGAAAGCAAAACAATAAAACACCTCTAATGCTTAAAATTATTTTAAATTATCAGCTCTGAAAAATACATTTGTAGTACACATATGTGAATTCACCCAAAGGGAAAACTATCATAAAAGTAGAAAATATCAACAAATTGGGATGACCGGCTCGTCATCCCAACACTGCTCCTGCCGAGGATTGAACTTGCAAGGGTGTTTACATTCGTGAGAGATGAGAATTCGTATCTAATAATTTATTTGAATTTTATGTGTATTGAATATATGCTTCTTATTTGTATAGCCTTATATAGACTATGTTATTTGAATTCTTGCAAATAAATAACATATTTTAAGAAAAAATGAAATTAACTATAAGTGAATGTAATTTGAAATCAAAGAGTTTATAAGAAATCTAAAAAGTTTAGAAAGATAAGATTTTTACAATCACACGAAAAATGAGCAAAATATAAATCATAACTAAATTTGTCAAATTACCTTAATTCAAGTAATAAATTTGAAATTTTTAATAAAATTAACGTCAACTATATTTGTTGAATTGATTTTAGAATTACAACAGGTCAATAAATTGATGTACTATAATTCAAATACAATTTTGTTTCGAAAAAAAAACCATAAAATTTGTAAAACCCATCATTTTGCTTAACGTAATTAAAATCTTTATTGCCAGCCAAATGAGCCCTTAGATTTATTGTATGTTCTTCTTAAATCTATAATAATACTAATTCAAAGTTCAATATAAATGATACAATTACAAAATGCGAAAACATATGTAATCAAGATACTAAAAATCAAGAAAACAATACACAACTTCAAATTAATAAATCTTCTAAGACAATATCAACATAAATTCATCAAATAGAGCGTGTTATGATGACGAGAATTTAATGTGATTGAAGCTGTGAGTATTTTTAGACTGTTAAATTTGCAAGTTAATATTTCCAAACTGTTAAAATTGAAGCAAGTCTATTAGCTTTCCTATGTTTTAAAGGTTTATCCATATTCTTCATAATTCATTGGAAGCTTGTCTTTACTTGATGCCCATAACAGAGAATAGTCTGTTCAATTTATCCCTACTAGGTTGTGAATTCTCTACGAGGAGGAAATAGCATCGTGAGAGAGAGATTAGTTCAATACAAGAAAGAAAGGAATCTTAGAGAGAACATAAATTAAATGACAAATTTCAAAATATTTCTATGATACTCCATTCCTTCAATAACTCTGAAAAGTCATCAACCTTCTCATTCCTAAATCCTAACCTATTCAAGCAAGCATAACTTTTTAAGTCCTTATCAGATTATCGTACGAAAGCTTAACTTCAGTAGTACGGACATGAAGCTTATATGAACTTCTGGATGATTTGATATTAGACTTTGGCATGCAACTTCTTTAAGATATACTGTCCATTTCTAAGTAGAAAGCAAAGAAAAGTTAGCTAAATGAAGCATACAAAAAAAAAAAAGATACATTACAGACAAGGATCACTGAAGAGAGGTACCGGCAACCTTAGCTCCGAGGTAAATCATAATATAATAGTTGGAGGAAGAGGATAAAAAAGCAGAAGTGCTACTTAAATAAATATAATAAGTTGAGAAGAGGATAAAGAAGTAGAAGGGCTACATATCTTGAACTCACAGATTGAACTTGTCCCAAACAATTAAGCACTATAAGTAGCTGCATCTAGGCTTTGAGTTCTCTAAAAGAAATAGCACACGAGATGGATATGCAGCCAGGTTTGTACGAAAGATGTAGAGTTGTTTTGGTAGCAAGCTGTTGGGTTGCTCTCACGGAAGTTGGGGTACAAATAAAACAGGTAATATATATCTATATTATAGGAAGAGGAACGGTTGTGAGAAAATGAAGGGTTGCAGGCGAATACAAAGTGTTTTTGAGAGCGGGTAATGAAATAAGTAATGTATATCTATATTATAGGATTATGAAGGGTTATGAGAAAAATGAAGGGCCGCAAGCGAATATGAAAAGTTACAAAATATGAACAGTTAGATTTTAAAACTGAAGGTTCAACGAAGAGGCAATATTATATTAGTTAAAGTCCTTAAGGAAATGGTTAAATTAAGAAACATATTTATATAATTAAATGGGAAACGTATAAATTAAAAAAACATGAAAAGGAGGTGGCGGCGGAGTGTAAGACGGAAATTAAAATGGTCAAAAGTTTTAAAATTAATATGGAATGAGATAAACATAAAGAGTATTAAATTATATAAGTATTAATTTTTTGAATTATTAATTATTTTTATTATAATGAATGATCAAGATAATTTAAAAAGAAATAAAATAAATGGTCAAGATTTGTTATGAAAGGAAACTCAAGTCCTTATAATAGTAGTATAGATATAAATAGTATATATATATATATAATCTGAGAAAGGTGAAGGAAGCCCGATCAGGCTTAGGTCGGGACGGAGACCAGACGGGATCTTTCGCAAGGCTGCGAGGTCGACGGGAGCAGGAGACCGGCGAGCTTCGGATCGGCCGACGAAGGAGTTCGCTGGAGGCTCCGACGTCTGGGAGGAAACAGGCGTAGGTAATCGGTTCTTCTAGGGCACGACGGGTTCGGTCGTTGGAGTAGATGGAGGCTAGCGATTGGTCGGCGCCGATTTGCGAGAGGTAAGTCACAAAGTTCCTCTTTCGTTCCTTGCTTGCGATCTTCTTCTTCGCTTTTTTGGTTCTGAGAGCTTCTGTGAGAATGGGAGCCATTTCGCTATTTTGTGTCAAGGGGGAGCAGTTGTGCAATAGTGGGCGACGGTTGCGCCGTGAGCGACGGTTGTGTCGTGGGTGTCGGCTGAGAGCGGTTCACTGCTTATAGGTCAACACAACAGATGTGCTTTGTTGTTCCTTCACAAGTGTTAAATTTAGATGTCACTTGGGTTTTTTAAGGCTATGCAACGTTCAACCCTAGGGCCTTGGGAGTTTATTAGAGTGCTATATGGGGTGTCACACAAAGCCAATCCACTAATAATGGTTTATTTAAAGTTTAATCTCTAATGAGATTATTAGATATTTGTTTCCTTTACAAATTTATATTTTTATGGTTAAATTTGGATAATTTTAGATTCATTCAAAAAGTTGTTATGTTCTTGTTGTTAAAATCATTGCAACTATATCTCACCAAATTGAAAATTAATCATATTAGGTTTTTATTTCCTTTACTTATATATATCTACCTAAAGCTAACATCCTTAAGCATAGGAAATATTGCTAATTGCATAGCTTGATATATACATATCTCTGGTTTCTTTTTTCCTTTAAAACACTAGTGGTGAGTTTTCTGTAAATCAACTAAAAGCAAATGGAAATTGACTAAAAGGCGGCTGAAGGTGTCATTTGCCTTGAGGTGGTAAGCAATGGGCGGTTTTGTTGGTTGTTTGACAGGTTGTCATTAGTTGTGCTTCGATTGCGAGATAGTGTCATGGTCAAAGATGAAGGTGTAGATGATGATTATTGACCTAGAAGGAGTTCATGTCAATGATGATTGAAACTTGAACTCAAAGGGCTGGAGGTGGTTGTTCATCTTCCAACAGCGTGTGGAATGAAAAGATTGTTGACGACCATACTCTTCAAAATTGGCAAGTGAGGAAATCTCAACAGAGACTTGGGGGAAGCAAATTAAGTTATAGATTGTTATTTTGATAATAAATATAATGGGGAAAGGCTATTTCATAAAATATAATCTAAGTTTATAATTTGAGGATGTGTTGAGAGAAAAAAATAAAAGGGAATGCTTGTGCTTGGGATGAGTTTGTTGGGATAAATTTTGAATTTCACTTATCTCGGGGCTAACTTATTCTTTCTAAATATACAAATTTAATCCATATTTCCTTAAGTTTGTGAATCGTTCTCGATGAAAGGATATTAAACAACAGAATGCCTTGAAAATCTGAGTTTGAATTAGATACACTATTTTGTTAGAATTTGTTTTGTTTTTATTATATTTGAATGATATCTTTGGTTACTTTTGTACTTATGAAGTTGGAATCATAATATCCATTATGAATACTACAGGACTGCATTATGGATCATTTTTAATTACTCTGCATTTATTTGATTGAAATCAGAACTGTCCATGATGAAAATCTACATAACTTCATTATGGAGCTTTTCTTTCTTAGTGTGATGATTTAAAAGCTTCTCATCTATTGCTAGTAGGATCATGAAATATAGCTTACTTAGCATCATTGTCAAGTTCTCACCCTTAGCAGCCAAAGCAGAAAAGGTGGAGAAAGAGGCATATTGTACCACCTTTGAATATTCTGAAGAGTAGGAGGGGAAAATACGCATATTGTACCACCTTTGAATATTCTGAAGAGTAGGAGGGGAGAATATTCTTTTGTTGACATCTCAGTGGTGCCTCTTCTAGGAGATGTTGCTGAACCTTCAGTGCTAACATCTGAAAAGCTTACGAGTAAGAGAGGTATTAGTGTACACTGTTTTCAAAGTGTGAAGTGTAATGCAATGGGCAAATGTTTTTCCCTATATTTTAATGCTCAAAATGCAAAGCAACGTGGCCTTTTATTAATTAAGTTGTTCATGATTTGTGATCATGGATGCATATATTATTTGCATATAATACCCATTTAATTAATCAAACCTAAAACACATAAGGTAGTAAATTTCACAAAACATAATGATGCATCCAATAACAACAATAAAACATGGATTACTTAATTAATTACATTAAAATCATATTAAATTGAAAATAAATATGACGTGCATAGTTATTTTGAATATGATCTTTAAAAATGAAGTTGTAAATTCTAACCATTTCTACTATGTATAGGAATAAGCAAAAAATTGAGTGTCATAAATTTTGACTATTGCATGATTGCTTACCAAAAGTAAAAATTAAAATGCAAATTTAAAGTAATATTTTGATCACTCAGCTTTTTTTTCAATTTTGTTTTGCTTCATCCAATTGATTAATCTCAAGGGCCTAAAGCTAAGAAACAGAGGAGATAACTTGATAGTGTGGTGTTTAATAAAATAAATAATAATAATAATAATAATAAACTTGATGTGGTATCCTACACCTGATATATTTATATGCTTCATAGTTACAGGATTCTGATTTTGCTTTTATCCAACATTAATTTTGTATGCTTTTTAGATTTTGGCAATATCTGGCAATAGTTACTCTTGAGATGTATCGGCTTAAATGAGATAGATCTGACAGGGTATATATTACTTTTTTCGATTCAAATTATTGAGAAGATCAAGAGAGTTAATCTTTTGCATCAATATTCTCATATTCTGAACCAGGGCAAGTAGAAAAGAAGTAAGAAGAAGAAGCGCATCTTTCCGCTTACAAAGATTCTAAAGCATAGGTGCAACACTACTATTTCCTTTGACTGCTCTGGGGTTCCCTTTCCAGTAGACAAGATTGGCACTCCATTACAATTTTCAAAAACTGTTCCAAGTGAGAGAGGTAAAGAATTGACCAGCACCTCTAGATGGGTCTCTTTTAGTTTTTCCATGATTAATTTATTTCATACTTCCAGAAATGAATCCTAGCAATCAAACACGCTTTAGAAGATCTAGAAGGAGGAGAAAGGCTAAGTCTAGAGTCTCCAAAATAGTGGATGATCATGCTGCCCCTGTGAGAGTTGCTCAGCATTGTTTTACAAGTTTGGATCAGAATCGAAAAGCTAGTTTTCTCCCAACATCAAGCACTAGCAAAGAGCCTTTTTCTGCTTCATTTGAAGCTGCTGGAAGTTGTGAGATCCCTTCATCTGAAAAAGTAAGTTCATAGTTGGTATACATGACTTGCACAGAATAATCTTATGTTGGCATCCCTATCGGTGCAGTTTATAGGATAACAAACTCAATCATTTGGTATAGAATGCTAATTTGCTGCTTCAGGTGGATTCAGCTCTGGATAATCGAAAAATCACAAATATAAGGTATTATAGAAGGTCCAGAAAGAGAGGGAAGGGTGGTCACTGTGATGCACAACACATGGCACACTCTTTGCTACAACCTCAATCAGATTTCAGCTCAAACCATTCATCTGCCATACAAATACCAGATAGAGGAAATTATTCAGAGAATGCAGATGGCATTCGATTGCCTGCAGCTAATAAATTGGTATTATCAGCTGAAAAAGAAAAATATTCTTTGATAAATGCTACATTTGATGACTCTAAAATCGTTTGTATTTCCTCTGAGGTCAATAAGGATTCTCCTAATTGTTCTGATATTGGAAAACATGGAAAGAAAATCAACAAGGCAAGAAGGCAGGATATGAAGTGCTTGAGAAATGAAGTTCATGAAAATCACAGAGACACTGCTAGTTTGCCTGACCGTATCATTTATAAAGGTAAACTTGCTACTGGTGCTTTGGCACTAAATAATGTACGTTCTTTGGATGACGAAACGGATTGCCCTCTCTTTGCAGTTGAAAAAGCATTGAGAAACCCTTTTAGAAAGAAGTTGCTTGTCCTTGACCTCAATGGTATTCTCTGTGATGTTGTTTTTGGCTCTCATGGCTCTTGTTTGCCATATAAAAGGGTTAACATGCGATCAGGTAAACAAATTCCCATCATAAATAAATTCCTAAAGTTGCATGTTAGAAATGTGGCTTACTATTTTGCAAAAATAGATGTGCTAATGCTTTATTGTGTTGTATTTTAGTTTTCAAGAGGCCATTCTTGGATGATTTTCTTACCTTCTGCTTTGAGAGATTTGTTGTAGGCATCTGGTCTTCAAGAAACAAGTATGTCATCTAAACAATATTTGATTTATGTTTTCTTTTATTTTCTTCTCTTATCTGACATCTATCAAGTTTGAATCTTCTGAGTGCTTTAGGAATAATTCTTTCCGTAGCCTCATCGGACTCTTCTTATTCTACTTATTTTGCTATTGTTGCTCCTGTTATAACCAATATGCCGATTTTTATTTATTTCTGAAGGAATAACATCATTGGAGTCATCAATTATATAATGGGGGATTCCAAAGATAGATTACTGTTTTGCTGGGTATGTGAGTGATCAAGTCATTATGATTGTGGTACGAGGTGTACTGTTTACCATCCTATGCTGTTGTATGCCTTTTATTTTACCTTACCAGCCTGCTTTAGCTTTTTGAATCTTTATTTTTCATTCAGTTTTGTTTAGTGTTGCATATGGTGTTAACTATTCGGGTATCTTTTTGAACTACTATAGCAATGTTACCTCTGTTCTAGCTTTCTTTCTTTATATTTATTTCACATTTGTTCCATTTCTTCAACCTGTGGGTTATCCTCCATTGTGCATGCGAAAACTGTCAAGTCTATTTATGTAATAGTAAAATCGCGAGGAATGTCAATAGCCATTGATGTTCTAGCCAGGAAGAAAATAAGCTAGCTGATGCTTTCTTTAGAGTACAAGTACAGAGTGCGTTTAGCAGCAACGAAAGAAGTACAATTCTCTTTATTTGGTGCTCATGGTTCCTTATTTTAGTTTAACTGGCTCTAAACTGGGTGTGTAAGTGAGCCAAGCCGGCTCGCGAGCCGAGCTTATCAAGCTCACGAGTCGAGCTCGAGCTCAAGTTCGAGCTTGAGCCGGCTCGGCTCGTGAGCTCGCGAGCCGGCTCAAATAAATATTAATATTTTTAAATAATTTTGTTTTACTTATGAAATTTAAATATTTAAAAAAAATTAATAAAAACCACCTAAGTTTTATTTAAATGTTAAACATTTTATCTTTTTTTCTAATTTTTTATTAAGTTTTAAAAATTCTGCTTAAATTTTAAAAATCTAGTAAGTTTTAAAAATCCCGCCTAAATTTTAAAATTTCCGCCCAAAACTGGCGAGCCGGCTTGAGCTCATTTACAGTGGAATGAGCTCGAGTTCGAGCTCGCTTTCCAACTGACGAGCCAAGCTCGGTAAGAACTAAACTCAACTCTTTTACACCCCTATTCTGAACCAAAAGGATGAACATATTAGATTGTCCATTGTCTGGGAGATCTCTGTATCTGTCACTGCATTTGCAGAGAAAAAAAAAAAAGGAAACTTTTTTGACTTGATAAACTTGCATGCCTATTGTCATAACTAATAGGTACGCCACTTGCATACCTGTTGTCATAGCTACTATATTACTGAAGCTTTATAAGTATATCTAATCAATTATCTGAAACAAACAAGCTCAAATAAGCCATAATTGATATTGTCATTTGCTGTACGTAGATTGTAGTTTCCATTGCAGTTGCTGCTCGTGCTGCAATTTAAAAACTTACAGTGTGATGCTTTATTTTGCTTTGACTTTATAAATGTATTAAGTTCTTTTCCTTATATTATCCATTTAGTTTTCTGCAATCATTAGTTAAGTAACTAATTAATTGTTAGTTATATCTGTTTTTTGCATCACTCTGCCATATCCTATGCAGGATCAATCTAAATGTACAGTTACTGGTTTTAATACAATTGAGAATAGCCATAAACCATTGGTATTGAAGGAGTTGATTAAATTGTGGGACAAAGAGGAAGCTAGCCTTCCATGGGATAAGGGGGAGTACTCTCCATCTAATACTTTGTTGGTTGATGATTCACCATACAAGGCCCTCTGCAATCCTGTATACTTTTTACCACTTTTTTTATTTTTCCTTGTCTTCTCTTCTCTTCCTTTTCTTGGTTTTATTAGGATATGTTCATGTGTTTCGCCATTGACAGCCACACACTGCCATTTTTCCTTTTCCATATGATTTCCGAGATGAACGCGATAACTGTTTAGGTAACTCCATCAAAATCCATGAGTTGTGATTAATTTCCATTCAAAATGGTGATTCTCAGAATTTTATTTGGATCAGGGCCAGGAGGAGCTATTCGACTTTATCTGGAGAGCATTGCCAGTGCTGATGATGTCCAAAAGCACGTTAAAAAACACTCATTTGGCCAACAGGCTATAACATCTAAAGATAAAATGTGGAGCTTTTATGAGAAGATCATAGACAAGAACAACTCCATGGCTTTAAGCCGACAAAGCTAGTGATGACTATTGATTTTCTTGTGATTTAATGGCATTTCTGAGATGAGCAACATGTCTAATGTTCCAGATTTGGCCTAAAGTTCTGAGTATGGTCAAGCTGATTGCTCCCAGAAAGGAAACTTTTCTTGATTTTATGAAAGAATGAAGACGGGTAAGTGGTATTTAAACGCTGAAGTATTTATTTCATTTTAGAGAAACAGTTCTCTAGCTAAAAGATTGGCTCACTCTGACCCTCTTGGCCTCGCTAAAATTCGGTCACAGTGGCATACCCCATTTCTTTTTGTGCTTTACTAATTAGCATGAAAAAATCAACATGATGGATTTCTCATTCAAAATTATCTTCTTAAAGCTTAGAGAAACACATCTTCATTGTGCCAAGCTCCTTGTGTCATAATTGTAGCACACTTAGATCTAGGTTGGATTCTGGCTGCCATAGATGATTTGGCAATACACCCCAACATGAGGTTTTTTAGTGGTTAGGTTGGATGCAAATTAAATGCATTAAAATATCTATGTTTGTTATGATGCATTTAAAATAATTTCAAATGTGGATGATGGTTAGTGCGGTGGCATGCGGCAAGCAACCGCAATAAGTAGTGGTAGGTGACAACAACATGCAATGACAAATAGCGATGATAGCTGGTGTCAAGCAAACCGAAAGGATTAACAAGTGGCGATGATGATGGCCAATGGCAAGCAACTAACAGGACGGGATAGTCAGCGGTAGCGGCGTCCTAACGATAGCATATTGGAAGTAGCTTGCTTTTTGGTTTTGAATCATTTCAAATTTCTCAAAATTTTTATTTTATATTTCTTTTGTTTCATATCAAACAAAAAAATTAAAATGCATGGAATTATAATATTGTAATCTACTACTTCAGTCTACCAAACAAACACACAAGATTTATCTCTTTAAACACACACACAAACACATTTATAGTGTATAAAGAGATAAATGGCCCATGCAGTTGGGCTAAATTACAGAAACAGCCATTGAGACTTTTGGTTGATGAATTCAGCCATAATTGAAGGTTTTTACTCCATATTATGTATTTGTCTATTCTACCCAAACAGGCTTCTTGATACCCTAAACCCTAAATCAAACTGTTCTCAATAATTCATCATGTTCATATGAAGTTAGGTGCTCATTTTGTCAATTTTGGCCATTCTCATGATAAAAAGCTTGATGTTCTCTAAAGCTCCATCCCTCCATGTGAACCATTTTGAAAGCTTTCTATATAACTGTCCATCATTATCTTCCAATGATGTCTGTACAACCAAAAAATTGTTATGAAATAATATCTTGTGTAGTCATTCTAAATGTTTGGCTTACTATAAATGTACTTAAAAGATAGCATCTCTGAGTTGTCTAACTTGTCTCATATATGTATGTTACTGTATTTAAATGTCCCTTTTGATATTTTGTTGGATTGGTTAATGACTTGACTGTACTGTTTTGGCCTAATTGTCAAGGTTTTTATTTTTATTTTTTTTTGTTTAGGTTAAAGAGTAATCTTCTCTTATATCTCATTGGACTTTATTTTATATTATGTAATTATCTCTTTTGTTGTATATTTTTTGGTGCATTCATATGCTTTATTCTACCATTTATTTTTCTTTTTGCAGTAAAGATTCATCTCATGTTCTTTACTTCCCATCTCCCAAACACAAACGAGATCATTACATTTATGTTTCATTGCAAGTGTTTGGATCTTAGTTACTGATAGGTAACAATACAAAATAATGAAAAAAAAATACATAATTTCAGAGAAAATCAGCATTAACACAGCAGTTTTCACAGATTTTGGAGAGAAATCACTTGGAAAAACCACTGGCTCGCCATTTGTACACCTAAACCGATCTAGAATGGACTGGTTCAGCCGGGCCGGCCTAACAGTTACAAGTTTTTAGCCATGAAGATTGAAATTCATTAACTTTTCTTATGATTAGTTTCAAGAATATGACAGTTTAAACTTGTTCTTGAAAGGAAGATTCAATATAATGAGATAAACTAATCTTAATTACTCTAACTGAATGGAACAGATGAATTAATGATTGATCTTTTAAAATTAAGGTTTTGTTTAGGACGACTTTTATATTGCTTCTTAAAGCAGTTTTTTAGTACAAAAAATGTTAATTTTTTACTAGAAAACAGTTTTAAGAAGCAACAAGAAAGCCGTCTCAAACGAAGCCTAAAAAACAAAAACTTACATAAAACAAATTGGTGGCCAAAGAGAAGCAAGATTTAGGCTTCGTTTGGGATGATTTTTTTATTGCTTTCTAAAACGGAATTTTAATACAAAAATAAAAAAATTTGTACTAAAACTCCGTTTTAGAAAGCAACCGTCTCAAACGAAGCCTTAAACTAAGAGGTTGATGAATTAATTATGATAATAAAGTTAGGTGCTCGCTTGTTTATTGTAACAGCATAAGCATTATGATCTCTAAAGCTTCTTTCAGCCATGTGAACCCTTCTGAAAGTTTCTGTGTGAAAGCTTTCTATTTAACCATGGTTTAATAATCTATTGTATATAGTCAGTTGGATATGTTTGGCTTCATATGGATGCATTTAAAAATAATATTTATGAACTCTCTATATTGTCTTTCTTTCACATTACTTCATTTCTTTATATAAACACCAGATGATATGTAACAAACTTCAATTTTATGAACTCAAAGGTTTTCTAGTCAATATATTCAATATATATAATATCTCTTAAATTAGTAGCTAATATAAAAAAATCAAGATAAAATTTTATCTTTGTTACTATTGAAACCAGAGGTCTTACTTGCATACACATTTTAATACATAAATTTAAATTTTGATATGATTTAGGTTTTGTTTTGGATGATTTTCTTAGCTTTTTAAAATATTTTTTTAATATAAAAATTAAATTTTTTATACTAAAAAGTTGTTTTAAGAATTAGTTAGAGAGCCGTCTGAAATGAAGTCTTAGGCCTTAGTTTGATTCGGTTTTTTTTTTTTTTTTCCTTTTCAGTTTCGAAACAACGTAATTATTTTTTTGTCACGGTTTGTATATGATGCTTCTTTAAAAGGACATTTTACGAAACTTTATTTTTTAACAATTTTAAGAAGCTTTATTATATTGGTTTCTCTGTTACAAAATTCTATTTTCTCAACCAACATTTCTAAAATCACCTTTTACAAAAGGTAGGGGTAACTAAACGAAATATTAATCATTGAATTTATATATATATATACCTTAAATTTCTAAATGAATGTTGAAGATGAATGAATGATGAATAGTGGTTGGAGATAGGGACATATTTGAGACTGAGTGGAGAAGAAGAAGCAATGAGCAATGGTGGGCTGTGTTATTTAAGTGGTTACAAATGGAGACACACACACACTTCATTGAGAGACTGAATGGAGAAGATGAAGCAATGATCAATGGTGGGCTGTGTGTCATTAATTGTTCAGAGAAGGAGAATTAGGTGTCCATTAGGAGAAAATTTTGGTATCTCGAAGCTTCCAGCAGTACAGATTTGGCCCCCCATCTCACATGGCATGAGCCCATACTGGCTGGCAGGTTTTTGGGACCTCATTTGCTCTGCAGCTTTATAACTATTATTATTAACTTCTCTTCTTTTCTTTTTTAAAGGTTGGATTATGGAATGATTAGGTAGCTAATATTAGTATATTTGAATATTTATATAGTTCAAAATAATAATATAATAATAATAATAATAATAGACGGGTCATATAAGTATTGATCATGGCGACCACTTTGAAGGCGTTTGGTGGCATAACCAATCTCCTGACAAGTCTATCAGTAATCAGTTTCATAGATGCAGGACCCGCAGTTATTTTCTTCTAATAGCTTACTTAGATCATAAGATCACTTATTAGTAATCTATTCTATCTATTTGGGTTCAATTATTTTAACCATGATTCTCTTTTTTTTTTAAATAATTTATTTTTAATCAATTTCTCCAAACTTTATCACAAAGACATCTCTCTTCAATTTTTCATCAAACCCCAAAATTCATAAGAAATATATATATATTTCAAGCATAGATCTTTAAATTCTCATCATAGTCCCTTCTCCTTCACATTTAATACAATCCAATTATATTTTTATAAAAATCTAATAAGTTAACTCATCATTAAATTCCATTTTCCAATTTGATGAATCATATTTAATTTCACTATCAAACACTAAACTTCATATAAAATACCTAATAAATCACAATTTTGTAAGAATTGTCTTTTAAACCCCTAAAAATACTCAGATTCTCCATCTTAACCCTACATTTTACCTCAAAAATTAAAAATCTCATTTCCATCCAAAAAAACTTTCTTATAAGAAATATTTTTCTGTCAAATATAAACATGATTTATTCTTCCAAGCACTGTACTCATAATTATCAATATTCTCCTAAACAATAATATGTCAGTACTTTTGCAAAATATGGAGGACATGGCACATGAAGAATCAGAGTAGCCACTCAACACTGTCTTGACTATCTCATCTATAGCTATAACCCTAATGAAAATAGGCCAGTAATTATTATATAAAACTTTAGCTAACAAATCATAAAGATATACTATGTATTTTCATATCTTTTATTCAATAATAATAATAACTATTAGTAAATAGGATACCTAGCATCAGTTGCATTATTGATATTCCAGCACTAAGTCCAAGAACAAGAAATGAAGGAGTAGCAGGAAGATGGGACTTTCCAGCATGGGCAGCAGAATAGCAATGAGACACTGCTGTAATTTGAACTGAATAAAAATATGACTTGTATTCATCAGACATTAAATATTGCTATGAGTGGAGCCAAGAGAAAATATAAAATAATTGAAGAAGGAAAAAGAAGATGCGAGTATTGATAAATGGGCCCCAAGTTTATGAAGCATGTGATTTTGGGAGGAGAAATTACTCTGTGCGGATGACCGGATGCAGAACATTATTTGAAGATCAATCAGAATGCATCATGTCAACGGTATCGAGCCACAGTATGATATTTGGCATCCGCACAGAATAATTTATCCTGCGAGAGATGAGAGACGCAAGTAAAATACATGAAATGCAAATGGGTAGAAATAATCATCCAAAAGTTAGTTTTTTTAAAGCTGAATGTTATAAATCAGAAGAATTTATCTTATTACTGTACAGACAAATCATCTAATAGAGCATCTAGCTGAAAATCTATCTTCAGAAGTGGAATAAGTAGACCTGAGCCAAAAATGACAACTTCGATTCGCTTACTTAACATAGGCTTCATTTGGGATGACTTTCTTGTTGCTTTTTAAAGCAGCTTATTGGTAAAAATTTTTTAATTATTGAACTAGAAAGCTGCTTTAAGAAGCAGCAAGAAAGCCGTCCCAAACAAAGCCTTAGGCTTCATTTGAGACGACTTTCTTAAAACAGCTTTTTAATAAAAAAATTTAACTTTTGTACTAAAAACTGCTTTAAGAAGTAATAAGAAAGACATCTCAAATGAAACCTTAATATCACCACCTTGACAAATTAATCTCCTAATCCTCTCACAAACCCCCCTAAAAAAACTGAAGTATCAATCCTTCTTAATTTTTGTGCCAACAGGTAGTCCTAAACATAAATAAGATATGAACATTTCAAACTTCATTTTTAGATCAAAAAAATTAGACAAATGGGCAAAGAAATCCAACAAGTCTGTTATGGTCCCTACTCAATCATCTCTTTGTATGCTTTATACCATTTTCAGTTTACTGCGCAGAAGTGTAGATGGTTCTATGCTTTGGAACAAACTAATTTGAGCTTCTAAGAAAGAAGATGCCAATGCAATGTTCCCAGTTTTCACATGCTGGCTGCGAACTGAACTCGCATTGTAATAGTTTTGAATATTAAATTATTATAATTTAAAGCATCAAAATTAGTTCGACTATTATAATGGAGAAAATAAAAAAGATAGTAATAGATAAGTTGAATGTAACATCTATTGAAGCTACGATGAAAAAAAAAAAGGCTCTTGGGGTAGAAGCTTTCTTACTGCTTCTTAAAACAACTTCGTAGTACAAAAACTAAAATTTTTATACAAAAAGCTAATTTAAGAAGTGGTAAGAAATCCATCTCAAACAAAACCTCAGGCTTCGTTTGAGACGTCTTTCTTACTGCTTCTTAAAGCAACTTTTTTGTACAAAAATTAAAATTTTTCTACTAAAAACCTGCTTTAAGAAGCAGTAAGAAAGCGTAGGCTTTGTTTGGGACGATTTTCATACTGCTTCTTAAAGCAGCTTTCTAATTAAAAAATTAAAAAATTTATACTAAAAAGCTGCTTTAAGAGTAAGAAAGTCGTCCCAAACGAAGCCTTAGGCATAAACAAGTGGTAATTAGACAATAGACATATCATAAATAAGAGTATATACAAGCATAGTAAAATGATGGAGAAAAAAAAAGGGGTATATGGGTAATAAGAAAACCCAACATAGATATGATTGATTTACAGTGGATGAAGCGAAACCTTTCATTCCAATGTTATTCAACTTTTAAGAGAATAAAGGACTCCATTTCTGTATTTCCAGACACAAATCACATGCCCACTTCAGACAGAATCAGACCCACACTCAATAATAATTCCACATGCCATGGTATGGACCAAAATGTTTAGCATAACCTACTCGCACACCCAATAATAATCCCACATGACCTAACTGTTCTGTCATGACCCATTCATTCTCTTTACTGTTTCACTCCACATATCTCACTTCCATCGCATAATAAAGCCCACAGCTCATTCTTTTTGTGTTCATTATATTCATATGCTTTCATCTTTTGCCTCAGAAAAAAAAATGTTCATTACTCATACTGAGCTAATCCATATCTTCCCCTCTATTTAAATACTATTCAGAAACTTCTCTTTCTACGTTTGGAAAAAAAAAAGAGTTCCATCATAGTGAGATATCTAACTTCCCTTTCTTTATCTAAATAATATTGACAAACTTCCTTCTCTTTCTAGTGATTAGAGAGTTTCCTAGGTTTTCATTTGGTATTTTCTGATAGCTACTGGGGAAATGATTCCAATACACAGTAAAGTTTCAAGAACTACTGTATGTACCCCTTCTTGAGATCATTTTTTCTTAGTTTAAATCTTTGGGGGTCTGTAGAAGCTAGCAAGTGGATAAGGAAATGGCGAAGAAGTTTTCTGAAGTGTTTGAGGATGAAATTCTAGACTCAAAGAAGCCAGCAGGTTGCATTGGTGGGATTTTTCAGCTGTTTGATTGCCAACAGCTCCTTGGTGGAAGGCAACTCAGTGAACAAGGCAATAGAAGGGATCCTTCAGGTAATTCTTTGCTTTCCTCCTCCCATGATGATTTCTACAAGTTTCTTTAACTCTTTTAAAGTCGAGCTTTCTCCTCTACTTCGTATTGTCGTAAAATTTAGATCCTCATTTTATGTTTTTCTAAGGTTAGGTCTAGGGGCTTTAACAGTTCTGTTTTCTAAATAGGAAAGGGCAGAAAGTACACCGCAGATAAATAACATTGTCGGATCAGTGAAAACAAAAAAAAATCTTAATCAATGTAGAAAAAAAAAATCATTCAAAATTATTTAAAAATTAAACACCTCCAACATCTCAGTTAAAACAAAAAAAAAATGATATATAAAGTGTTAGGATAAGACTAATGATGAAGCATAATGATAAAGATCAATAAAAAGGAATGAAGAACGCTTCATAAAATGTTATTATGAGACTAATGATGATAATGATTATCATACTTATAACAGAAGTAATCCAAATTTTTAATGCAACTAATATTTATGCACATGCATCAAGTGAATACGAGTGATTGGGTAAATAAATTCTCATTAAAACTAATAAGAAAATAACTGTAATTTAATTCTAGGATACTAAATTTAGAAGCAAAAAATATCACATCACAAACAGTTTAAAAACGTATTTTCATTCATTTAAGCTAGGCATGAAATGTGAATCCGAGTTGGTACAAACATACTGTTAAATTAAAGAATCAACTATTAGTTATTAATTAATATCTTTTAAACTCAATGATGATTTATTAGAAAGAAAAATTGCCATTAAATAATTTAGATTAAAGAGAATATCCATCGTCTAAAGCATTCACTTGTTAGAAATTTAGAGCATTTATAAATTAAGAGTTCTTACATACGTCAGATTAAGGCTTCGTTTGGGACAGTTTTTTTATTGTTACTTAAAGCAGCTTTTTAGTACAAAAATTTTAAGAAACACTAAGAAAATCGTTTCAAACAAAGCCTAAATTTGTTGTAGCTTTCTGAGGTGTTCGTTTTCTTTACCATCTAACTTCTAACTCCATCGTTCCATGTGCAGCTCATGCCCCAGTAAGCCCCAGCATTAGCTTATGTGACTTGGTATGATCTTGATACTAATAGAACAACCCTGTTTTAAATGATATACATGAGAGATCCCTAACTCTTGACGTAACTAATACAGGAGAAAAATCAGAGCAGGAGATCTCAAGAAAAGTCAAGATATTCCATGGAGTCATCAAGAACCTCTTTCTCATCAACATTCACATCATTTTCTTCACTCGAGCACAAATCACCACAAGAAGAACCAAAATACACACACCACTCATTTTTATCGGGAAGCTCACCAAAGAACTCGCCGAGGGCAAGGACTACCGATATCAGTAGATTTCCTGCTTTCAAAGAAATCATCAAGGGGTCCATTTACAGAGACTTATGCAGTTCTACAATCAAGGATGATGACAATAAAAGAAATGAAATGTTGAAACCCATTCAGGCCCCAAGATCACTGGATCTATCCAAAGTTAGTGATCTTGATGAATCACTAAGAATAGCATTCAAACTTAAATATTCACCTTGCAGTTTCTATGAAGGACACTCACGTCGTCTCTCCTATGATGGCATGGACATCTCGCAGGAATTCATTAATGAGAAGCAATATATTAAACATAGCGTGGTCTCAAGACTGTCGTTGGACAGCAGGGAAGGTTCGCTGAGGTGCAATTTAAGCCCTAAATTTAACCCGGATATCAAAGGATTTGATAAGAATGGAAACAAGAGAGTACCCGAAACTGTATATCACCTTCAGGAACTGGAAAGTAAAGAAAAGAGCTCCAGCATCGTTGCAAAGCTCATGGGCTTGGAGCTAAAATCTCATGAGGAGAAGAATCAAATAGTAAGTCATGAAAGAAAACATGAGAAGCAGCTGCAGTCACCAAGAAACACTGTCAGGTCTCCAAGGAGAAACAACCTCCTCCTGGATTCACCTTCCAAATTCTCAATTGAAGAGACTCCACAGATGGCACGAGGCTATGTTGAAGAAAATATGAATCAGAAAATTGAATCAGTTTTGAATAAGGCGAAGAAGAGACTGCAAAAGCTTCAGTGCCATCATTCTAGTAAAGAAACCCAAGATCTAAATCGTCTAATAATTGAAGCTAAGAAGAATGGTAATAGAAAATTGAGCTCAGTTAATTCATTTAGCACACAGCTTACTCCAAACTACGGATCAAACAAAGTAAAAACTTCAGAAAGAAATTTGAAGTCCCCAATTGTGATCATGGAACCGGCAAGAAAGCTAGATGTTTCTTTCTCCAAAGTTACAAAGCTTAAAGGGCTTCCAAGTTTTGGAAAGATTAGAACGAGCGACTTGGGAAGTAACAGAAGGAAGACTTTTTTCAATACACAAACTAGTGCTGAAAAAAGTTTCACAGAAAATAAGGCTTTTTCTAGAGCGCCTCATTCATCAACAAAAGAACAAAATGACAGAGCAGCAAATAACAATGTGAGCCCACGATTGCAGCAGATGAAACCTGACCTGAAAATGAAATCCTTTGCTGCCATTCCCTCTTATGACTCGAACAAATCCCCAAGGCGAGCTGTAAATAAGCAATTATTAGATTCAGTTTCTCCTAGATGCAAAGTAAGAAATAAATCAGACAAAGTACATGATACTGAACTTCAGAATTCAGGTAAGCAGGTCAATGTGGAAGCAATAAGGGCTAAGAACTCCATTGAAGTGAAATATCTTCTATTCCAGCAAAGCATCCCAAGTTCATCAGTAAAGGTATCAACAAAATGTTCAAATTTTCTACTAACAGTCATTATTCCAATAGAGTTGAAAAGACATCTATATTAATTCATTTGCTTTGAACACTACTCTCCACTATTCATATAAAATGTGACTGCCTTCTTGAATTGCAGCATGTGAGGTTTACTATTAGTGCATTGTATGAAAATTATTGTCTGGCACATGAATACTAACACTCTTAGAGAACCATGAAAAAAATACACAGGTCAATAAGGTTAAAAACTGCTGCTCTTTTGCTATAAAATATAGCGTATTCATTTTTCTTTTCGGTTTGCAACTAACAGCTTTCAATGATTACAGTTCTTTTTTTCACTCTCTATCTTTCTTTGGTTTAGAAGCATCCAGTGATACTAAAAGATCTTTCTGCTAAGGGTCTCAAGCTAGTTTCCCCTCAGCAGTCAAGTCCCAAATCTGTGCCTGATGCCATGCTAAACCAAGATGGCTTGCTTCATTCCTCCGCGTCGATGTCAGAGGTGTTCAAAGGTCATACTTCATAGCCAAATCCTCTTTATGCAATAGAAGCACACACTCACATTTTGTAATAAGAAATTCAAAAAGTTTATGATGTGCGCCACTGCGGTAATTCTCAGTGACCATTTAGTTTTTCACGAAACTAATTTCTCCCTCTTACAGTTCTCAAAATAGCTGGGAATGCTTATAATACGTTTACTTTTTATTATCTTGTAATTACAAATTGTCAGTTCCCTTTGGCAGAGCATCAGAATCCACGGTCTGATCGTTACTTCAGCATGGAGCGTCCCCCTCTGACCATTCCATCAGCTGGGAGCTCTAGAACCGATTCCAAAATATCAGAAAGCAAGAATAACACCATTCAGGGTTCCAGAGATCTACGAACAGCTATCAATGAAGCTCGTGTAACCAATGCAACTATGTTCAAAATTGAAAACCAAGAACAAGACAGCGTGATTGTAGCTGAAATATTCCGGGCCTGTGGCCTTCTGCAGAAAGAACCAGACTTTCTTCCCGTGCTTAAAAATATTACCTCTGACAAGCCATCTGAATTTGATCAAAAGAGCAATCAACATAAGCTTCACCAAAAGCTTATTTTTGATGTCGTGAATGAGATTCTAGCTCAAAAAATGGATGAAACCAGTTCTGGTGATCGGTTTAATAATATTCTTCACCCCAGTACTTTCAGCATCAAGCATCTATATAAAGAACTCTGCTCGGAGATCAAATGTCTTCGAAGCTGCAAGGAAGGAAACTTTGATCATAATTCAATGACTCATAAAGATGTGCTCTTGCATTCACAAGCATGGGACAGTTTTGAGAGTGAAATACCTGTGCTTGCTCTGGAGATTGAAAGATTGATATTTAAGGATCTGATAAACGAGGTAGTAAAGAGTGTGGCTGCAGTTGCCCTGGATGCCAATCAGAGGCGCCAAAGAAAAATGTTTGCAAAAGATGGAATTTAATGTCGTATGAATCCTGTTTGTTTCTTTCTACGGGTAGATTTTGCACTCTAGCTAATACTGAACCAATTCAGTAACTTCCCATGCTAAGAACTTCATAAAACGACAAGAAAACTACAAGTAAAACAACCCACATGAAACAACACTCAAGAACCCAAGCGTCTATCACTAATATAAGAAACTTTACTGTATTAATGCCAAAATTTGATATTTTCAAGCCTGCATATGTAAAGTTTAAATGTGCATATAATGAGCTCAGATATATTAAATAAGGCATTGCTTTGTTGATAATGAATGAATCTTCATGTTATCATCTTTTTAATTTGAATTTCAGTCTCTCTTTTAAAGTACTCGTAAGTTTATCCGCAATCAGAAATTAAGAAAATCAAACTTCAACTCTACCAAATAGTTTAACCAAGAACCTCATATCTTAAGCTTCAATCCTTGAAAAGTGAAATATAACGATCCAGACAACTCAAAGTAGGGACCAGAAACAAATGAAGGTAAGACCAAAAAACTTCTACGCAGACAAATAAAGTTGCTAAATAGAGCGCATTACATCTATTACAGACACTGATGTCTGACCGTACATTCAAAATTTTATACTGCAGCAACAGAACCATATTCGCAGACAAATTACGAGCCTCCGATATTTCATGTACTTCAGACTGTTTCGAGGAAAGTTAACTTCAACAAGGGATGAAATTCCACATAACATTCTGTTTACAGCTGAGTAAAGATTACAAAAGCACCAAGGTAACTCTGCAATCAGCCTAAGCTTCAGGCATGAGAATGCTGTTAGGAAGGATAGTAGCATGCCAAAAAATGGTCGAATGCAGCATCTTCCACTTAGGTATCAGCAGACCTCATTGTAAATTGCATCAAAGAGCCTCTTTATTATTACAATCCCTGTGGTTGCTATGAATAGATCCATGAAGAACTAAAGTGCTACAAACTGCTGATTAGATTTACATGAATTTATGATCAGAATTTAACCTACTGAAGAAAATGAAAATTGAATGCATGTAATGGATGAAAAATACAGCCTGCTCTTTCAGAATTAACTATTGCTTATTAAGCATTACAGAAATGCTTCGCACTAAAACAGGGGACTAAAATGATCCTTGAATGAATGTGAAAGGCACCTCACAGCTCTGATCAAAAGGTGTTGAATACAGCTCGCAGTTGATGGAAACAACCAAACCAGAAAAGATAGTCAAGTTTTCTTTTTTTCCGGCTACCTGTTTCACATTCAAAATGCCGTTGTCTAGTAGGCACACCAGATGTCATAACTTCCCAAGAGATAAATTTTGTAACAAAATATCACTTCATCCATCCGAAGAGCATGTGTCTTCAGAGGCGCAGAGTGACCAATGAGATCAGTACAATCCACTAAAAGATGAATTTTGTCAAAACAGCTCAGCGCACGAACCAAAATCTTGTGCAGTAAAAAATGCAAATAATACCAAGATGCTCTAATTCGTCAATGTGACAACATAATTCACCCACCAAAATAAAGATGATATGCAGGTCGTGATTGATCATTTCAGGGCATTTATCAGTTTGTGCATGCACCAATGAAATGTCACAGGCATTGGTTCAACTCAGTGAAATACCGAAGCAAAGGGTAGCAAACTTGAGGCATTCATTAAGAAGAAAAACATGGATGCAGATTGCAAGAATGTATACATTTAAACATATCATCCATTAACTATCGAGACATTTCAAGCGTCAGCCAAACCAACTGAACAATTGTGGGAATAGACCGTATACCTGCCATAATCATGAAAAGAATATAAGCACATATCTTCAACAAAAACAAACAATTTAAGCAAAGTAAAATAAATCTGATAAAATAAAATTCAGATTTATAGGTAAGCATCATCATTTTGCAAATCAACTTGCGCAATCCATTCAGAAATTCTCTCTAAATTTCTGGAAGAACAGTTTTTAAGGAAAATAAAATGAATGGACAAAGAATTATTCAGCTAGGGGAGAAACGGAGGTCATGGTCCGGTTGGCTCAGAAATTTGCTCTCTGAATTTCTGCAAGAACAGTTTTTTAGGAAAATAGAATGAAGGGGCACAAAAAGAATCATTCAACTTAGGGAGAAACGGAGGGTATGGTCTGGTTGGCTGCCAAACCAAACAGAATTCTAAAACCATAAAATGAAACAAAAATATTAAAATATGAAACCAAACCAAACAGAACGGCCTGCTCTGGGTTTTAGTAATTGGTTTTGACAAAAAAATATATTAAGATTATTCCTGAATAAATATAATACAAATAATCATAAATAATTTACTTATGCATATACATTTAACAACTACTTCGAGAAGCAACAAAGTTAACATGTAAATGATGCATGAGAGATAATTATTTTATATTCTCTAACAAACATATTACTTATTTGCTAAATTGATTAGGTTCTTTTTTTCTTTTTTTGGTTAAAAACTCTTAAATTGACTTATATATGAATGTTTTAGTCAAAATCTCCAACCTACATCAAGCCAAATCAACAGATTTGTCCGGTTTGATCCTGTTTTTCATCAGTTATTTTGTCTACCCCTACAAAAAGGAGCTCAAATGGGAAGCAGCTATGATATCACAACAGTTGACAATAAAAGGAAAACGAAAATAAGCATCAGCAGGACACAAACAAGAGATAATGACATCATATACTCCATATGGTAGCACTACATAAAGCTGAGAGCCTTTCGGTTATTTCCATGACCCCTTATCAACTCGATTAGAATTGGCTCACCAAGCCTGCCAGGTTGAGGCCATTAATAAATCCAGCAAAATTATGACCAAATCCCCTAATTAATGGTTTGTGGATACATCAAGCAACCTCATTACGTCACAACAACCCAACATATATTCTATAGAAGATAAAAGAATAGAAGCATATTATATTACTCTTAACTACTTTCAAAGCAAGAAATTGGCACGTATAGTGAAGAAATGAAGAAGCAAGCATCAACGTTTGTTCATATGAAAATTTAAACCGCCCAACTTCAAACTTAAAACTCAGCCTCACCAACAAAAAATGACTAACTCCAACCACACAGCATAACTTCAAAATAGCCCATCCTACAAATTGGCCACATTAACAATTGTCCATTATAATTTCAGGCATCTAACTAGAAGCTGGTCATCGAAGTGCTAAATATTATATAGAAGATGTAGGGTTTGCGGCAAATAGTTCACTCTGCAAAGTAAATGCAGACATTTGATCACATACAAAGAAAAGAAGCAGGTGAAGACAGCAAGCCAAAAGTTGACCCTGTTGTAAAGGTAAATACCTATTTAGAAACAATGAAAGTCTCGGAAAGGTACCTTTTAACTGTGGACAATAGACCAAATTAAGATTACTTCTCCCTCAATCCCACATACTTTTAACTCCATAAATAAAGTGCTCCAGTGAAATCAAGACTTAAACTAACCCACATCCCACACCCACAAAAAAATAATAATAAATTAAATAAAAAACTGTGAATTACTCAAAAAATCTTTTTACTTTATTCAATTTTAAAGTATGGTTATTAACATTTAGAAAATAAAACATTATATTTTAATTTTGATAATAAGTGGATCATTTTATAAGAAAATATCAAATATCTAATAGAAAAGCCTATCACATTAACTACTCATGATGAATCAAAGGGAATCAGTAAACTAAGGGGCACTTTGGTTGCCTGAAAATGAAATAAAGCGAAAAAGAAATGCAATTTAAAAGGAATATTTTTGGAGTTATTTGGATGGAATGCATGACTTTACTTTTTTTTGTTTGGCTTGAAGTTAAACGAATGCAATGTAAAATGTGAAATGGTTGTGCCTGGGGTGACTGGTGGGAGGCATTGATCGGTGGCCGACAGTGGTGGGTGGCAGGCGTTGGTCGATGGCCGGCAGAGGTTGGAGGTGATGCTGGCGGTGGACGGTGGTAGCGACGGTGGCCGGCAATAGTGGTGTGGCTGGTAGCAGTGGCCAATGGTGGTGGGAGGCAGCCGACAGTGGTGGAAGTGGCTGGTGGATGACGACCAGCGATGGTGGTCGGCAACAACTGGTGGTGGTAGTCGGCATATAGCGATGGTGGCGGTGGCACTGCGCGGTGGCTAGCGGCGATACGCTGTAGCTGGTGAAGGTGCTCGCCGACAGTGGCCCACAGTGGCGGGAGGCAATTGGAGGTGGTGGTTGCAACCGGTAGTGCCGGCCGGGCCGGCAAGGTGGCAGCCGTGGCCGGCGATGGTGGCAACGGGTAGTTGTGGTGGGTGCGGCGGGCGGCGGTTCAATGATGTCATGCGGGCGGCAGGCATGGTGGAAGCATCTGGCGGTGGGAGGCAGCAGTGGTCGTCGACGGTGGTCAAGTAAGCGAGCGACCGATGTAAACTATTCTCGGTCAAAATGGTTGAGAATACTTTACCTCAAAATGAACTAGAATGGAATACAGTACTTTACTTTACTTAGGATTTGCTTTTCATCCAACCAAACACCCAAAAGTTCAAAATCATGCATTAGGAATGCAATGCATTCACTTTTCCTCCAACCAAACAGCCCCTAAATCAATAAATATCATATGTATATCCACCTTACTCTCTATACTTCTCCATTAAACCTTACAAGAAATGTATAACTTCTATAGTAGGCCTACTCGACATAGGACAAAAATAATTTTGAGAAACATCAGTATCACGACGTAATCTATTGATGAGGACAACTGAGATCAATGGCTACGATCTTGAGTTATTTATTTATATGTTTTATGTACTAGTTTATTTTATATTGTTATTTTTTCCTTTATACCCTTACGGGTGGTCATGTAGTGTTGTAGCCAGAAAGTCATTTTAGCCTTTTATTTCTTTTCTTTTCATGAGGCCTATTTATAGGCAAGTTATTTTGTATTTTGGGATGATAATTAAAGAATGAAAATTTTATGTGTTTTTGCTTCTTCTTCTTGTGCGAGCACTAGAGAGAAGGGAGAGAGAGCCCAAGGTGAGGGCATGCACAATACCCACCAGTCGTTGGAAGAGTCTGCGGCTCGTAGTTTAATTTATTTTATTTTTCTTCCTTCTCTTCCCCACCCCACCCGCCGGCTCCTCCTTTCCCTTCCACCGCAGGCCATCCACCCCCTACCCAAATCCTCCCCCAATTCCACCTCACGCCCCACCGCCGGCCTAACCCCATCATCCCATCCAACTGAGCCCCCTAAACCCCTCCCACCTCCTTGCCGCCGGCCACCTTGGCCCTCCCACCATTAATGATGATTTCCATCATCATTACCACTTACCAAAACTCACCCAAGTGATTTAAGGAGAAAACTCATCAATTTGAAATTCAATTTTGAATTTCAAATAACTTCCTAAATCGACATAGCTATATTTGAAATCAATTCTATATCATGAATTTTGATTCAAAATTCAAATTTCCCTTGATTACTTTCCTAAAATAACTTCTGTCAATTAGAAAAGTTTCCTTTCTTGAATTCAATTAAATATTTGAATTCAAATACTTTCCCTAATGATACAACCCAATTAGGAAGCCTCCCTAATTTAATCAAATCTGAAATTAAATCTCAGATTTGATTTCAATCAATAATTGAAATCAAGGACCCACACACATCGAACCTAAACACTTTCACCGCCTTTTCCTATGGCCGGCCTTCCCTCTCCCAATTCTCTCTCCAATCTAGTCACTAACTCGTAATTAAGTTCCCCACTAATTCCCTTAGACGCCGCCATATTTGGGATTAATTTTTTAATGTCAATTTCAAATCTCCCTCCCAATTAAATGTTTCCCTGACTTCCTGCTTGATGCTCTCCGCATCCATCAAGTGAGCCTTGCTATCCAGCGGCAAGGAAGGCCACGGTTTGCTGTCCATAGCTCCCAGCAGCCCAAGGAGCAGACCCAGACGTTTCTAAGCCTTACGGAGTGCTGTCTAGGTCCCGTCCAAGGTCAAAACTGCTGCTGTCCTGAAGTTCTGCTTGTTGTCCCCTTATTCCAGCAAGAATCTCTTGCTGTCCAGCACTTTGGAAGACCACACTTTGTTGTCCCAAGTTCCCAGCAGCATAGAAGAGCAGTCCAACATTTCTTGCAACTGAAAGGTTGCTGTCCAAGATCTGTTCAAGACCAAACTACTGTTGTCCAGAGGAATTCTGCTTCTCTTCCTGCTGTCCAGCCAGTCGGGAGATCTTTGTGTGCGGTCCGAAAGTTTCCGATTGCTGCCCACCACATCAAGAAGGGTCTTGGTTGCCGTCTACTTCATCTCAAGCACCCAAACAGCCATCAAAGCTTCGTATCTTCTATTTCTTTGGGTAAACTCTTCCTCTGACCCTTTTATCTTTGTAGTTACTTCTCAATTGTGATCTTAGTAGATTCCTGAGAATAGTGTCAATACTCCTGCGCTAAAACTTAGAACTATTAGAGAGTTGAGTGAAGGATATCTCTTGATGGCTAATCTTATTGTTAGTATAGGGGTTTATTGTTGAAATCATTCATGTATGCAATGCTAGATTAATTGATCGTTTTACGACCTTAACTCCTATGCATGTGGTTTAGCCTCAGCTTGTGTCACCACTCTTTGTGTTTTATTTTGTCGTTTGAAATCACTATAAAGGTATAGTTATTGTGCTTTAAATATTAAGCGTGCAAATTCTTTAAAGTAATTCATCTTTGCATGCTCGTTCTACTTCACCTATGCTCAATTACTTTCTCTCATAGTTTTAAAGTATGACACATTAACTTACTTCTTTAACTATTTTATTTGGAAAAAAAAA